TGGCTGCTGCTCTGTTACATACACACAAGATGTGTGCTCTTTAAAGAAATATACCAAAATACTCAGAAATTCATTTTTATTGCAAGTCATTGTTTTTTCAATGAGCATTTGTAAAATGAACTGCATCTACCTTTCATACATGGCCTAAAACAGGTTGAATGATTGAGTTGACAAATACTGTGACTTATTTTCTTCTCTTTTATGAAATCAACCAAAGGTGGATTCTATATTCTAGTACTTAGGAATATTTAAGATGCACAATAAAACTACACACAAAAAATAATTAAGATAAACTCACTAAAAAAAAGAAAATTATTTTTCTACGTGCTTCAGGTAATTATGGAGGATTCTCACTAAATTATAAGCATGATTAAATTATTCCAGAAATGTGCTTATGCATGTATTTTCCTTATCTATTTTCTTCTGTCACCACTGTTATTGGTGTTAATTGCCACTTAATCTCTTTCCATCTAGAGGACTTCATAAGTAAAATTTTTCTAAGTGTGGTTCAATTCAGTGAGATTTTATTTAATTATGACCTTGCCTTTGTAGATAAATCTACTGCTACAGATACTTGATTTTAGTGCTTATGTTTTTCTTCAGCGGTTCTGTTCACCCCTGACAAGATATATATATGGAACAAAAGAGAAATTTATTTTGTGGTCAGGCCTTCTAGTGTAGCTGATCTTTTTCAGGCTCATGTCAAGTTGTGCTCCAGTTATATTTCATTGCCTATTAGTCGTCATTTTCAATTTCCTATGGTTATTGTTTATTCTTATATTTGAATTACTTCCACAGACAGAATATAGCTTCATTGAAATTAACATTGGGAAGACCTAGAGATAACCTGTCAAAGTATTGGCAAACAAGGCAGTGAAACTATCATAAAAGATAGTGACACATTTATGTTCAGCAAAATAAATTGTTTTGTCTTCCAATCAACAGATGTATTTGCTCATAATGTCTTTGTAGAGATAAAAACACTGATCATCTTTTTGCTGGTTTATGTAACTATTTTGAGGGTTTTTTTTTCTTTTAAAAAATTCTTTAATTATTAAGGATAACTTATATGGAAAAAAAGAAGCCCTCTCCCTTTTAAGTGATATTCTGGAGCTTTTGAATGTTTAAGTGCCTATTTGAAAACCATAATTCACTTTTGTTTTTCATTGTTAGAGTCTTCCATTTTCTCAGTTATGTGAATGCTATCTTATGAGTAGATTATCTGTATGTAATATTTAATTCTGTATGGATTTCTAACTTTTCATGTTTCTGCCTAATGAATGCTAAGGTGCCAGCTTATATAATTATATAATCAACATCAACAACCAAACATCACTAGGAAAGAAAATCTCCATGAGGAGTCTAGCATGGCATGATACATTTGAAAGGGAACTGAAAAGATTTGATTTCAGATTTATCTTTGTCACAGATCCCTGCCAAGTTCTCATAAACAAATTAATTATGCCTTTCATTTTCATTTCTTATTTGCCTTGAGGCTTATGAATTGGTTTTTTTTTTTTTTTTTTTGGTCACTCCCTAACTACCCAGTGTTTCTTTCATTGTTTTATTTGTAGGGGTTAGGGAAAAGTCGGTTTCATTTTTGATTATTAGTTGAATTTCATGTAGTGAGATTTGGTGATTAGAGAACAGTGTCAGAGTTTCTTTGTCTTCTCAATTTTTTTAGTATTTTTAAATTTTTTTAATACCTATTTTCTACATAACTATGAATCTGTAATTGTTCTACAATATCAATATTGTTCATCTGGTTTTTATCAAGTTAAATAGTATATATAAAATGCATTCTATATGTTTAAGACCCTGCTGATGTTTCTTTAAAACTGAATTTGTTGTTTCTACAGGTTCTAGTAGGATTTCCTTTACATTTTCTTTTTTGGTAACAGAATATAAGGAGCACATAAGGTACACACACACACACACACTATGAAGGATTTCCATGAAATTCTATGCATTGATTTTGTACTTAAATTGAAAATCCCACCAGATTTTGTTATAGCTTTTGCCTTAAACAATCATAGCTATTTTAAAAGGATTTAGAGGGGGAAAGTAGTCTTTTATGTTTGCCCAGCCATTTATAAATTTCTTTTTTCTGTTACTTTTGATGTTTCAGGCTTCCTTCTGGTATTCCCTCCAGGCTAAAGAACTTCCTTTAAAATGCCCTGTAAAACAAGTCTGTTGGCAGTGAATTTAAGTTTTCCTTCACTTGAAAATATCTTTATTTTGCCTTCGTTCCTGAAGGATATATTTGCTGGATATAGAATTTTGAGGGTTTTTTTTTTTTTTTACTTGTGCTCCAATATCTTTTGTTTGTTCTTTCCAGATTTCCTGTCACCTGTATGTTGGATTCATAGATTCCTAAGGCTTTCTGAGTTCTAGTATCTTTTTCCCTTCGTTTTTCAAAATGTATAATTTCTTTTCTACCTTCAAAGTCACTGATTTTTTTTCTTGTCTCCATTCTATAACTCAGCTCAGGGACTTTTTGGTATCATTTCATACATTGAATTGGGTATTCCTTTTCTCCACTCCCGCCCCTCCCCCATGTTTGCCCAGACTCTCCAGTTTCTCTAAGCTGATTTTTTTTTTCTAAGATTTATTTATTTATTCATACAGAACTGGTATATGGGCCAGAGGTGCAGGGGTGGTGTGAGGCTTCACTAGAGACAGAATTGGGAGCAGAACAGACTGACTGACAAAGTTCACTGCTGAGGGAGCAGCGGGCAGGTCAGGAGAGGTCTGCTGCGCCATGTGGGTCACTTCTGGGGCTGGGGATTGAACTCATGCTGACGTGGCTTTAGCTTCTCAGTGCCTTAACCTGCTGCACCACCAGGGAGGGCCCTAAGCTGAACAATTTTTAGTTCCATATGCATTTAGTCAGTGTTTTAAGGAATTGTGCTGACTATATAATAGGTCTAGATATATTTTAAAATTTACCTAAAGACAACTAAAATTTATTGAGAATTTGCTATATATATAGTCAACATGGACAGAGTAATGGGAATAGGAATATGAGTTACTTGTAAGCTTTGCTCTTAAATTGTGTTCTGATAAGATAAACTATACTATCATGTGGTCAGTACTGTGATAGAACTGTGTCTAGTATTGCATAATCACTCAACAAATATTTATTGTATACTATGTACCAGCAGTGTTGTGAAGTTTGATATACAGGACTAAATTTTAAAAACAGTTTAATTAGTTTGTGAAGTGGTAGCAAGAAGGCAACTGAATAAAGTTAAGTCTTAGAAATGGTCTGATTAACTGCATGGTTTTCTCTAATATCCTGTAGCTGAATACTATGTTGCTTTATGATTCAACTTGAGAGAATTTATAAGTAGTGTTTTGATTCTCTCTTGGTATCTAAACTATAATGAACTTCAAGGTTAAAAGTTAAGTTTCGTTTAACACCATAATGAGATACCACCTCATCCCAGTGAGAATGGCACATCCTCAAACAACTAGCAACAACAAATGTTGGCGAGGATGTGTAGTAAAAGGAACTCTCCTGCACTGCTGGTAGGAATGCAAACTAGTACAACCACTATGGAAAACTGTTTGGAGGTTCCTCAAACTGCTAAACATGGAGCTTCCCTACGACCCAGCAATCCCCCTCCTAGGTATATACCCAAAAGACACAAAAACACTGATTGAAAAAGATACCTGCACCCCCATGTTTATTGCTGCTTTATTTACAATTGGAAAAACATGGAAGCAGCCCAAATGCCCAAAAGTGGATGACTGGATAAAAAAGATGTGGTACATATATACAATGGATTATTACTCAGCAACCAAAAAAAGAGAAACACATGTCTTTTGCAGCAACTTGGATGGAGCTGGAAAAGATCATGCTTAGTGAAATAAGCCAGAACGAGAAAGAAAAATACCGGATGGTTTCACTCATAGCAGGAGTATAATGGACCAGGCGAGAAAATAACAAAAATAATGAACAACCATATACCAGAGACATTTTGTTGGGGTGGAGTGGGGAATGGGATCAAAAACGGGGGGGTGGGGAGGGAAATACACGAGATTATGGTGATGGCACACGGGTGACTTGGTGATGGGAAACCCGCAGGGATTACAATTGAGATGGAAAAAAAAAAATGTACAAAATGATGTAAAAATAAACTTTTGTAAAAAATTGTAAAAAAAGGAAGCATTGGTATTTAAGACATTCACACATTTAACTTTTAATGACTTGCGTATAATAAAATTATAAAAGTTTAAAAAAAAAAGTTAAGTTTGGTTTGGACCCAGTCTATCTTAACTATACAAAAGCAACAGAATGCATTTAGCTTTTCAGTAATCTTTTAATAATCATTGTCCTATTTTTAACACTTTATAACTTTATAAAAATGCCAGTTTTAAAATATCTTTTATATATTGTATATTCCCAGTAAAATTCTTATCAGTAATTCACCTCTAAATAATCAAAATAGGTTAAATCAAACTCACCCCATGTGTAAAAGCAAAAATTCAGGTTTTATTAGCAAAGAATGAAAGTTACATATTCTCCTGAATTTACTGGGTTTTTCATCGATTTGGGAGAAACACAGGTTTTTCACACACATATTTTGAGTGTGGTCTCCTGTTGATGCAACTCTCTGGAGGTTTGACTTGAACAGGAAGGCCCAAAATGGCTTTCCTTACAGTACCACATCTCAGCAGGAGAGTCTGGATTAAACTGGGGTCAGTTCAGCTTCCCTTTTTCTCAGGGTAGTCTCCCATTTTCAGTAGTCTACCAGGAATACTTTGTTTTCTAGTCAAACACATATTGATTGCTTGACTAGCCTTTGTAATCTTATATGTTATTTTGGGAGGAAGCCAAATTATATTTTTGTATATCACATCTTCTCCAGGAAAAATAGTAGCCTGCCATATAAGTTTAAGAGATGTCTGTTTCTTGTTTGCCATGTCTTAAAAAAGTGTAATTAATAGTCATATCATTTAAATGATTTAATAATTACATATATATTTTTAAACAGGCAATTGCTGGCTACTTTGATATATATTTTGAGAAGAATTGCCACAATAGGGTAAGTATCATGGCTTGTCGTATAAGAACTAATTATGTGAAATGCATTGTATTTTATTTTTGCGCCCCAAGGTGTTTGATCATAAGCATTTTGCTATTGTAAGCAGTTGAGCTTGTATTTGATATAGTAGATTAATGTACCATGATATTAAAAACTTTATACTTCATCAGATATTTTTGAATTTTACCAATGCAGGTCATGTTCTCTACGGGCCCCCGGAGTAGCAGAACACACTGGAAACAAACAGTATTTCTATTGGAAAAGCCATTTTCAATAAAAGCAGGTAAGAAAGAAAAGTCAAGGGGGGAAATGTCTTATTCACACTGAAGTAAACAATATTCATTCACTCTACAACCACTTCTTATGTGCCCACTGTTTTTAAAATTATGTAATAGATGTTAAGATGTACTTTGAGAGAACAAATGTAATAGAGTAAAAATGAAAACAGTGAACAACTAAAAGCCAGAGACGTTTTATGGGGGTTGAAAGGGGAATGGGATCAGAACTGGGGTGGGAAGAGTAGTGCACTGGACTATGGTTATGGCACACAGGTGAATTGGTGATGGGAAGCCCATAGGGATTACAACTGAAATGGAAAAAAATGCACAAAATGAAGAAAGATATAAAAATACATAAATTTTTGATATCATTGTTATTATTATTTTTAATTTATTTATTTGTGCATACTGAACTGGGGTGCAGGCCAGATGCTCAGGGGCGGCGGGAGGCTTCACCAGAGACAGAGTGGGGAGCAGAACAGGCAGATCGACGAAGTACACTGCTGAGGGGAGCAGCGGAAAGGCCAGGAGAGGTCTGCCACGCCATGTGGTCACCTCTGGGGCAGGCGGGAATTGAACTCACGCGGAAGTGGCTTCAGCTTCTCAGTGCTGTGCTTTAACCCGCTGCACCACCAGGGAGGGCCAGGATATCATTATTATTATTTAATTAAAATAACTAAAAGACATTTTCATTACCTAAGTGACTAAAAAGAAGTATCGTAGAGGTAAAATACAAATTAAAAGAGAATGTCATTCAGTACTTCTGGTATTCAAAATATATTTGTCTAGTATACTTTCCACTGTTTCCACCTTCTTAAGTCTTACTTGTTCAGGGGTTGGTTTAGTTCCACCTTTCTTTTACACTTCATTGGTTGCTCACTTATATGAGCACCTAAGGTTCTTAAATCGTACATACTTAACTCTGAAAATTAGAATTGGGTTATGAAACTTTTTTAAACACTTAGTCTTCGTATCCCACCTTTGCTCAAAAGCCTCCTGACTGTAGGGAAGCTGAATATGTATAGTAAACATCAGTGAAGAAATAAACATAAAGTTGAACCATGCCAACTGCAGGGAATAAGGTAGCCCAATGGAATTTTCTTACATTCCTGGTAGTTCTAATTGGTATGAGAGCTTTATAGAGCAGCTTGATAACACCCAGATATGTATTCTCTTCAGATATGTATTCTGACAGTCTTTCTTATGGTCTGTGTACAAGAATCTTTACAACAGCATGCTTTGTAGAAATTGAAGTTGAAAGGAACTATAAAATAATGAGCCTGCTTTATTTTTATTTTAGCTTTTTACTTCATTTTATTTACAACCTAGTTCTAAAAATAATTTTGAAAGAAGTGTTTTGAGCACTTCCAGTATTGTGAGGATGAGCCAATGAGCCAAGCATTCCAGAATGAATACTTTTGAAGAAGTTAAAGTTACTTTAAGCATTAAATTCAGGATGATCATTTTCCTTTTCCTTTTAAAATAATACAGTTTTATTGCACAAACTTAAATGTCAATCTTTACTTTGAAACTCCTGTTCATCTTCCACATGGTTTGGCTTTGAAAATATGGTTAAAATTTGACTTCTGTCTTCTGTATATGCCTACTTTGTATGATGGAAAATCAACCTTTTTTAATTTCATATTTTAACTCTGCATTTTAATAGTGATAACAATGGTTACCTTTCTTTACCCCTTCCAAGAAAAGGAAATTTCACTGCTCTGGAAGAAATTAATTTTAAAAAAATCACCAGGATAGAAATGAAATGAAGTCAGTTTTGTTCTTGATCAAACTGCTGCCCTGATCTGTGGTTTACTAATGGCCGTCTGCTGCTGATAAAAACAGGGGGCTGCCACTCAGCAACCAAGGAGTGGCCTTTGCAGCTCACCAGTGTGCACGCTCAACAACATCAGTCATTTTATATCTATTTGACGCTGATTAATTACTCAAATCTATTCTGGTACCACAGCCACTCCCTTGCCGCTTTACTCAGGCTTGAACAATTGAAGGGAGTTCAGCAGTGTAAATTATATATTTATTGCTCTGACCTTTCACGCTATTTAATTAACTTAAGTGAGTGCTGTTTGAAATTAAGATTATTACAGAAATAATTGTTTTGCTTGCATTGCAAGGCATGAAAATTACAGTATCATCCTATAAAGCAATTAATAAATATAACTAATTAATTCAGATGCTTTGTTTAAGAGTGATAATTTTTTTTTCTTTCAAGGAAATTTAAAGTATCTATTAGTAGCTCATCTTGGGCTATATTTCTAAATGAGTTGTCTGAATCAGTTATTATCTTTAAACAAACACATAATCTTTTTTGTGTTCACTGTTTCATTTCTAAGTTCTATTTTCCATTTAGTGTCAGGAACTTAAAGGCCAGTGCCTCATTGTATGCCGCCATTTAATAGGGCTATAAGTTTTCCAAGCTAATTTTTCAGTTCCCAAAGGAAGGCTCCCTACTTTTCTCTCCCTTCAGTGCCATCCATGTGTACTACTAAACCTGGGTAGCCATGACTTTAGTCCTCAGGTTCATTATTTTTGTGAAACCTTGGCTTTTTGCTGCTTTTAACCACCCCCATTTTTCACCTCCAGCACACTTTAGGCACATACCTAGCTTGTGATTGTCGGTGTAACTACTGCTCTTCCTGTGCCCTCTGAGCACAGGAACCACATCCTCATTTCTGCTATATGCCCAAGAACCAGCTTCAAGCCCCACATTTTAAAATCCAATAAAACTACTTTTCCAACAAACCTACATGACATGCCTCTGTACTTTTCCTCACTCACAGGTTTTGGCACCTGTAGTATGTGTTAATGCAGTGCTTTAACCCGCTGCGCCACCAGGGAGGGCCCGCTTTTTTTTTTTTCTTTCAAAATGTAAATATAAAATTGCTTTAAAAAATAAATTTATTACTTTTATTTTAAAAAGTAAAAAATGGGGCCCTCCCTGGTGGCGCAGCGGGTTGAAGCACAGCACTGAGACTCCGCATGAGTTCGATCCCTGCCTGCCCCGGAGGTGACCACATGGCGTGGCAGACCTCTCCTGGCCCGCCCGCTGCTCCCCTCAGCAGTGTACTTCGTCCATCTGCCTGTTCTGCTCCCCACTCTGTCTCTGGTGAAGCCTCTCGCAGCCCCTGAGCCTCTGGCCTGTACCCCAGCTCTGTATGAACAAATAAATAAATCTTAAAATAAAATAAAAAATTAAAAAAAATGAAAGCAAACCATGTGAGCATGAAAGCACTGTGTGTTGATTATTACGATTCTACTAGGCTGTATTCTTTATATTCTTTAACACGTTTTCTTCTGCCCACCTTATATAGGTGAAGCCGTGAAAGGAAAGATCACAGTTCACAAGAACAAGAAAGATCCGCGTTCTCTTATTGTGACCCTCTCCTTGAATAATTCAACTCAAACTTACGGCCTCCAATGAAAAAGCATAAGTTTTTAATGTGGGGGCAGGGTGGGAGGGCTAGAGGGAGAGGTTTTATATGAGTACATGGATGATGGGTTCTTTCCATGATTCTCCTCAAGAGAAGTAGCTAGGGACCTAATGTAATTCAGCTGAGGAGAACTAGCTGATCTGCTTATGTCATTTTTGAAAATCTGGTCAGGTCGATTTAACCACTTGCAGTGTTTCCACTGAGTTTAGCTGTACTGAAAATTATTTGAATTAACCTAAATTTGGAACAGGAGTAACCTTTGTTGTTTTTAGTAAGTTTCCTACTATAAATTTTAAACACAAGTAATTGATTAGTTATTCGAATAATGTTTTGTTAATCTAGTAGCCACACACAAGGTACTCGACATTTTATTGCAGATATCCTCTCTGTTAGTGGATTTTAATTGTATTATTGACTAAAATATCAGGATATAATAAAGAACCAGTGTAAGAAACTTAAAATATAGAAAAGAGAACATCAGCTTTCTCATGCAAATCCTTTAAAGACAACTTAATTGACTATCTAGTAAACTATAGTTCTGATTTTGTAGTTTCTTCCCTCTTTGCAATATTCTTTATATAGTTTTCTAGTATTGCCCAGGAAATCTAATTAAATATTTATCCTGCGTTTCATAAGTTTTTAAAAGATTGCAATAAATATGTTCTTATCTACTAATATAGCTTTTCAAACTAGATTTATGTGCAACATTAAGTGTGTAACTGTTAACGTACTTCATCATTATAAATTGGGATTTCAGTGGACTCAGCTTGAAATGTACAATGAAACATATTCAATAAAGTATGTGCAACAACCACTAACATTATAAAATGGTATTTCAACAAATAGCCTTTTGAAAAATCAGAAGCATTTAAAATAAATCTTAACATAGGAATCATTTTTAAGAAAAAGGGATTATAAGAAGTGGGTCACATGTTTTTCTAGTTCAATAGCTGGTTCTTTTTCAAAACAAGAGTATACAAGACAGTATAACATAGCGTTAAGAATCACGAGTCAGTGCCTATAAGGAAAGTCTGGCTCCAGCTCTTATTTGGTGTGTGTGATCTTAGTCATGTTCCTTCACCTCTTTCCTTTCATGTATATGCCAGTTCGTTGCTTAATGCATTCCAGTACTTAGATCAGTACCAGCCATATCAGAAACACTCAGTGCATGCTCAGTGGTAGTAACAGCATCGTGATACTGTCAAGAACTCTTTCCAAAGAGTATATTCCATCTTTTAAATCAGTTTGAAAAGGTCAACTTCATCAAATAGAAATTACAGCAAGGCTTGGAATACGGTTTCACTTAATGTCATTTTATTAGAATTTTGATTAGGAAAAAATTTCTGACCAACTTTGAACAAAATGATGTTAAAAAAAAGAAACATGAAAAAGGTTTTCTTTGCTTTTTAAGTAATTTACCTAGGAAGCAAAAGATTTTGTATTTCATATCTTTACAGGCAGGTCTTTAAGTAAATTTAGTCTTGTTAGTACTGAACTAAGTTTTGCCTAAAACTCTATGAAGCTTCTATAAATGCCTTTGAAATCTTTTGTCAGTTTGGTTAAATAAATAGCTAAGTGTTAGTTCATAATCATCTGTTACCTCATTTAGTCTGATGTTTCTAAGATCTTTTGATACTTTGGACAAAGTTTCCCAAATCAAATTATAAGTGAAATCTTGACTTGTTACTGTAGGGTGTTTTTCCAGAGGATTCCTAGAACAGCATCCCATAAACTTTGTAATGGTTTCTTTATAAAAGAGGAGGTTCAACAAAGTAGGCCTGGTATGTGAAATTGCATGGGAAGTAGTATCAAGTAAGTAATAGTAAGCCTTTTTAACTTATATTTATGTGGACATGAAATATTAATAAGAGTTAAAATTTATATAAACTTCCTAAAAGTCTTGATATGTTCTGATGTAATATTATTTCTTGACATTCTGGTTATTATTTTGAAATATTGTATGCCACAGAATTAAACAAATTTCAGTCAATCGCATTATCAATCTTTAACAGGTCATTTTAAAGGTTTTATTAGTTATAGAAGTCATATTATTTATTCTGTTGTTTCTATCAGTATGTTTCATGTTCAGACAGATTCACAGAAATGATTTTGACAAAACTGTAGACTATAGGTCATCATAAAAGTGAAATGGGTCAAAACTTCCAGAAGTTATGGAAAGGCTGGACTTGGAGCAGATTAAATACATGGACTGAATGACTTACTAAAGGTGATCATAACTTTTATTTAAATGTTGTTAAAACTGAATTACTTGTTTTAACTTAGGAATTAATATGTAATTGTAATTAATGATTTTCATTACATCAAATGTAACATAAGTTTAGCAATAGGGAGATCATTGTGGTATAAATGGAAATTTAAAACAAAATAGCCTTTAGATGTGAGAAAGTAAATATTTCAATCTTTTTCAATCATTTATGTATATAAGTAGGTATATACATACACTCTTCTAAAATATTTTAATATGCTCCACTCGACATACTGACAAATGAATCAAATCAAGATTTAGAAGAATGAGATTCTTGTTAGAAACCTAGTATTTTCAAAACCATCAATTTATGTCTAAATAAAGTAATATAAACTGTCCATTTTGAACTGTTTACTATTTGAATTATAGATATTTAGAGTATTGTATTGGCATGACTTTGGGTTTAAAAATTGGGACAATGGAAAATAGGTCTTTGCACTTTTGTTTTGACATGTATTTACTTTTCTAAGTAATGGTTTACTATTGAACTGTCATAGTATCCTGTTTTGAGTTTATTTACTTAAGCATTATCATCTAACCACTTTTGAAAATAAATTAACTTTTACACAAAGTACATAGACTCAAAATTTTAAAATGTATGGCAGTACATGCTTAGCAGTAATAATTTGTGCCAAAACCTTTACTTTGAGACATAAATAACTTACATAGCAATAAAATGTTTTAGGTGAGAAATGTCCAAAAGTAGGTAACTGAAAAAAGTTGTGGTACATATACACAATGGAATATTACTCAGCAACCAAAAAAATAAACACATATCTTTTGCAGCAACATGGATGGAGCTTGAAAAGAACATGCTTAGTGAGATACGCCAGAAAGAAAAAGAAAAATACTGGATGGTTTCGCTCATAGCAGGAGTATAATGGACCAGGCGAGAAAATAATAATAATAATGAACATCTATATACCAGAGACATTTTGTGGGGGTGGAGTGGGGAATAGGATCAAAAACAGTTGGCGGAGGGAAATGCATTGGACTGTGGTGATGGCACATGGGTGACTTGGTGATGGGAAACCCACGGGGATTACAATTGAGATGGAAAAAAAAAAGTGTACAAAATGATGTAAAAATAAACTTATTTTTTTTAAAAAAATGTTTTAGGTAAGATACAAATAGAAAAATGAACCAGTATCTTCACTGATAACTTATTGGAATAACTGTCCAAATTTATGATTCCAGTTTTTTTTTTATCCTGATGATTTGGAATTACTGAAAATTAAAACTGTCATTTTTTTGAAGCCATACAGAATTGGAAAACTTGATAGACTTCCAAGAAATCACCTTAGGCAAGTGTAATTTTCTTTCTTTCTTTTTTTTTTTTTTTTTTTTTTTTTGCTGTATGGCCAGTCAGAATTACCATTCGAAACACTTAAATTACACAGCCCAAGAAGATCTGCTTTCAGTCCATTTGAAGATGCTTAGAGCTTTACAACTCAAAATCTTCTCAGCTGACTGAATAAACTCAGAAATAGGTTATCATACTTCAATCATTAATCTTTGGTTTTTCCTAGCATTTTCCTAGAATGCCTCTTATTAAATACCTGATTGTTAAACCAGAAAACTACGCATCTGTAGCCACTGAAAGCTGACCTTACAAATACAAAGAGACATCCTCACCTACTGTAAACAACTAAGTTGATTAATGGCAAGTAATATTTAGTCACTGATGCCCACCTTGGTGCTTTAACTCTGGAGGATTGAACACTCTACTGTGACATAAAGCCTGTATTTACTAAAAAAAATACATCTCCAGCATAGGTGCATGGGACCCACCAGGTTTGCTCTCCCCAACCTTTGAGCAGTTCACTTACAGGGAATGACTATTGATCCATGTCTCTCTTAATGAAAGCCTCTAGACACAAAATTCAGAAAAGCCTTCCAACTGAGGACCTAACCTTCCGTCTGATGAAACAGACATCTGATATAGAGTACTCAAGACACCATACTAGCCCTCTGGGTCATTCAGACTTACCCATATTCATTAGATGTCTTACAATAGTAGCCGTAACTATACCAAGTTATAACTTTACCTAGTTACCCTACTAACCTTTGCTTTATCAGGACTACAAGAATATACTTCAAAAAATAACCCTTAACATCTACTGTGCTTAGCATTTCAGCCCAGCAGATGTAGAAATACCTTTAAACATGGACATCCATTTTATTTTTATTATTTATCTTATTACTGTGTATAACCCCAAGGTTTACATAGAAAACTATATTGTTTGGGTTTTCTCAAAGTCTTAACTGTCTGAGGAAATTAACCAATTACTGGATGTGTCACCTAAATCCACAATCTGTTTATGATCATTATGTGCCCCTAATGTCCTTATATCTGACAATGATTCTATCCCAAATGTCACCTTTATAAATATTTGAGAAGTATATTATATGGTGTAGCTACTATTATTTGATGTATGTGAATTAATACCTCAGACAAAGTAGAAATGGTTACAGAGAGTCAGCAAAACTCATTACCTACAGGAAGGAAGAAAAAATGAATTCTCTGCATAATTTTTGGGGTTTACTATCAGGAAACATTGGTTCATGGTTTTAAAATGTTCAGGCTGTGCTGGACCATGTTGTTGTTACTTGCCCTTGGCATAATTTTATTGGTTAAACTTAATTGACTGTACTTCTAGACTGTCAATATGTGAGACTTGTGCTGGCCAGATCTTGAGGATTCTGTATCTAAAATTTAAACATTTTACTAACCACCCACGAGGGACCAAGAGGGCCCTCAGTAGAAGATGGCCTTCCCTTTGGGAAAGCCATAAGAAGTGATCCCTTTGGACCAATGTGGGGACTAGAGGAATCGTCCTCACTATGGCAAACCACTGGATCAGTCACTGAAAGGACTTTGTCATTCATGATAAAAGCAAATAATGTGAAACTTGCTTTGAGTCAAAATTCATTTTACCCAAAATGCCATGTTAAGACTTTCAGATGAAAGTCTCGGGCAGAAAACTGCCCACCAATCATAAAGATAGATACAGGAACCAGTCTAAAGCATCATGGCAAATGACTTTGATGCAAATATCTGTAATCACCTATGCCCTGATCAACACATCACAAACTGTGAGACGGATGTTTGGCCACACCCTTGAATCATGACTCCTCTGAGAAACACCTTCCTGATTGTATTACACCCTGATTGTTTGCCTTGGATCAACATGCTACAGCATTAAGGCTCATAGGAAGGTACGTACAGTTCCTGCCCAGCTATCATGATTTTGCTTCAAAATTTTGGTAAACTTTTCCAAGCAGAATGATGAATAAGCAAAGTGCTTTTACGGTGTCTTAGTAATTCACTTATCCTTTCCAATAAAGTAGGGAAGGCTGCAAAGAAAGCAGTTTTCATGTACTGCCTCAACAAGTTTGAATAATGCGAATCTGTTAGCGTTCTTTTAACTCTAGACTAGCTGATTTTACACACATAAAAGTCTATCACGGAATTAGGTACCATTATTTAAAATAAAGACCAGTAGTCTAACAAACAGTAAAGGAGTCTGATTATGCAAATTATATTCTCTTCATGGATTATTATTTACTTAGTAAAAATTGTCAAGTCCTATCAACACACAAGTATTCTTTCGGACAAAAATGTTATATAAAACAACAAAACTTGAGAAGCATTATAAGGTAACTCCTACATACCCTACAATAGTGAGAGAGGAAACAAAATAATTTGTAAGTTTCCCTGAATTATGGGTGACATTTTCCTCTAATAGGTAGAATTACTGTAATGTTATATAACTTCAATACATTTAAAAATATAATCTTGAAAAAAACTTTTATAGCCAAAATAATTTTGCAGTCTTGATAGAGAAGTGAACCTTATGGGCTACTCCATCAGCTTAAAATACATCTCCAGCATAGGTGCAGGGGACCCACCAGGTTCTCTCTCCCCAACCTTTGAGCAGTTCACTTACAGGGAATGACTATTGACCCATGTCTCTCTTAATGAAGACCTTGAAGGCCTCTAGACAAAATTCAGAAAAGCCATCCAACTGAGGACCTAACCATCCGTCTGATAAAACAAACATCTGATATGGACTACTCAAGACACCATACTAGCCCAAGAACACTACTTGGACAGGACACTACCCTCTGCTATTCTTCTAGCCATTAAACCACATTTTGGACCATCAGGATTAATCATAATGCTCTTTATCCCAATTAATGTCAGTTGTCATGAGAAGCTCAGGCCTCACAGTTCATCCTGCATCTTCTATCTCTAGTCTTTGTGTAATTCTCTGCATCTTCCCCCTTTCTATACAAAATCCAAAAGGATTTTGCTTTCCTGGGGACATTGATTCTGCTGCAGACTTCTTAGATGGAGGCTATACTCTTCTCCACCACTTTTCATCTTAGATTTGGGCATGAGGTAGGTAACTTACTTTCTTTGTGTTCCCTGAAATCCTACCATCCCCCCCCCATGTCTAATCATTTGTCATCAGTATTGTGACACCAGCCATCTTAATACCTTGTTACTACCATCTCCCTGGTTGTGGATGGTGACCTTTTGGCTATTGACCACATCCAAACTCATCCAATATGTTTCCCTCTTCCTGCAACCATTCCTGGTCATCTTAGTAGACAGACCATAATCCAGAGGTCTTAACTCCCGCTTAAATCTCAAAATATTCCACCTGCCTTTCCACCTTACTCTTCAATATCTCACTCTCCAGTAATCCTTCAACTCCACCAAGACCAAAATCCATAGATAGCAACATCTTCACTGTCTCACCTCTTCAAATTGACACTTCTCTCATTGCTTGGCATGAAAATCCATAGATAATGGTTATAAAACTTACTTATATAGAGCTACAGGTTCATTGCATCTCTTTGTGCTCTTGACTAAATCATAATTCCATCTCATCCAAATCCATGACTACTTGTGCACTTCAGTGAAGTTGAAGAAAAAACTCAACCACACTATTTGATGATCCCTAATCTTAAATGTCCAGATTTCACTCCTCATTTCCCTGCTCCACTTACCACCTGTTCTCAGTGCTTATACCTTCTTTCCTCCAAATTCCAGTCCCCTCTCTGCTTGTGCTTTCAATTCAAGTCCTTATTAATAAAACTAATCTGGTGTCCTCCCTAGTGGCACAACAGGTTAAAGCACAGCACTAAGAAGCTAAGGCCACTTCAGCATGAGTTCGATCCTGGCCTCTGAGGTGATCCACATGGTGCAGCAGACCTCTCCTGATCCACCCACTGCTCCCCTCAGCAGTGTACTTTGTCAGTTGGACCTGTTCTGCTCCCCCACTGTGTCTCTGGTGAATTCTTTCATTGCCCCTGCACTGCTGGCCTGTACCCCAGTTCTGTAAGCATAAATAAAAGTTGTAAGCATTAATAAATCCTTAAAAAATAAAAATAAAACCAGTCTGGGGAGAACTTCAATAGGCTTCCATATTACACTACCCAGCCAACTTTTATTGCAGTATCCTGCTTCCCCGCCAAATAGTCATTTAGTACTTCTGGCCAAAGTCAACCTTGCCCTACATATATCCCACACGCAGCTGCTGAAAGATACTTCTTACGCCCTATCAACAGATTTTCCACTACTGCTACTGCTCTAATTAGCAT